TGTTTTTTCATATGAGAGAAAATGCCATTTTCAAAATACATGTAACATTGTCACATGCATGTCATATTCTAATTCATTCGAAAAGTATCATAGTTTGAATACACAATCCACATACACAGGTACTTTATGTTGTTTGACCATTACGAACTTTATTGAATTCTTTAGTTAGTGCTCCTTCCAATGTAGCTCGCTTTCGATCATTTCTGATTTTCCTCGGGCTTCTTCTAACTTTCAACATTTAGGCCAACAACATCATCAACGAGCCCTAGAAGGATGACAGCTCATTTGTGGTGTTTAATTCAATTTTTAAGACACCACTGTGTTTAATATTGAATTTTTTTTAATGTGCTGTTTATTTGTATATCTTTTTGAAACGTTCCCTTCAAAAAAAATTAATAAATAAAATAAAAGAACATTATTTATACCAAAACCAAGTGGAAAATACATATCACATAATGATTAATGTGTTTTATAACGTCTTTCCTATGATGTTTTATCCGCAAATGCTCTCCCGATTCTACCACGCAGTTCTGTTGATATCTTGCAAAACATGGCCGTTGATCACTATAAAATCCATCAATGGCTTTTTGCTCCTCATTGAAAAGTTATTTTGCCCTAGGGAAAATCTCAGACAGTCTCCGATGTCCCAGACAATCTCTTTCTCCAGTGCAAGGAAGATAGAATCTGCAAGCAACACAATTAAACGTCATCGTACTCCACCTCAGTAAAAACACAGTTCGTTAGCAAATGTGGACATTAGATATGAGGTAATCTTGGTTACATATTGAACTACAGCTAGTAAATGTAAACTCATTAGTTGTCGTTTCTGAAGATTCGCCGAGGAGCGCTCTTCAGATGTTTGTCCGAGGATCTGTCATGAAATTTAAGGATTGCAAATAGTATGATAACTTCTTCGCTTTTTATTCAGGAAAGTCTAACGAGGACTTTTTTAAGAGAGCGCCGCAAGCTGTTGCTTTGGTACAGCGTCAACTGATCTTCCAGCCGAACAACCCATGCAACGTAGAGCGAGGGTGGGGAACGGTCTCATAGAAAACACTGTTCCAACCTAGGACTAAACATACATAGACGTGACCTTTCCCTATAATAAATAAGCTATTGGATACATTGAAATTAGGGCATGATGTAGACCGAATCCTGCGTAAATTCGCGTAGTTAGTCTTGACGTTGGTGCAGGTATAGCAAACGTTATCAAGGATGAGAGATGATACTGTGATTAATCCTTTTTAACGAATGAATTCCGAAAGATTAAGACTTGGTCCTCTTTTTCCGAAATTATACACACAAATAAAATGCTACTTTATTTCCTTAAGTAGATCGAAAAAATATATATATAATAGTTTTCGTAAAGCTTACGAAGTGTATTAAACAAGCACATGTAAATGAATTATTTAGTAAATAAAAAAGAAATACAAATTCCATCATAAAATATTTTATTTCATTAAACCTGGAATGAACAAGGAAAAATGCGTGTAAAAAACTAACCACAACTATGGTTTCTTTGAAGTAATACTGATATGAGGATTGTTATATTGCACAGGAATGTCAACAAGATAACGTGTGGTACATGATAATCTCTCTTTAATATTATCTACCGATAAGACTATACAAGAAAAGGCTTGATGTCATACAAATAGGTCATATGTGGTCTATAAATAACATTGAAAATGCATTGGAGTCTAGTCTAGGCACGGTGATGGATTTGACGAAGTAGACAAAAAGTATTATACTAACGAAGTACGGTTTACAAAGCTAGTTTTGCAAATAACATACAGCTAGGATGAAGAACGACACCGACTCATTTGAATACGGTGCGAAATATGCTAACATATCAGAGATGCTACCTTTTGTAACGCTTTTTTATCCATCGAAAAAAAACTCTATACTTAATGAAATATGAGTTTGATAAATATAGTTCATGGAAACTTCTACATGACGTCATGATAATATTTTTGTAAACTTAATATCTGTTTTCATTCTTACTTATAAAAAGGATATGTGAAAAATTGAATTTTATACATGTCTAGTTAGTTAAAGATTTGTTTTTCCTAAAAAATAGAAAGAAAAAATTATGATTTTCTATGCTTGTAAGACAATTTAGCTCATAAAAAATGGATGACAATTGAAATGGCGTTACAACATTCATAATGTTATGCAATAAATAGCAATATGTCATCAATATTTTGGTAGTTGTAATAGGATTTGGTAACTACAGATATAGATTTTGAATAATACCGTCATCTTTTTGACCGTACAAGATATAGAGCGTAAATGATGACATCATTTTTAACGAATTCTATAGCTAGGAATGTCTGAAATATTTTGGATATACATAAATAAGCTGAAAAATTCAGGAGAAGCAAATGTACACATAGCATTTCATGCAAGCATACAACATCTACAGTAACTTTAATTGTTGGCACATGAATTTTAAAGGGATATTAAAACATATATCTCTCATAGATAAAGGTAATAGCTTTAGTCATTTGATTTAAACTATTGGAACACTTATCCACTACAAAATTACAAAGCAATACTCGGATGACGTCATTAAAATGGGATCTTACAGTCTCTCTACGAGAGACATCGTTGTTGTACACGATTTAACGAATTTGACATTTAGTGATGTGTAATTTTATCTACTATATGAACAATGACGTAACATATGCTATGAATAAATATCGAACGTCTTCGTTCAATTAAAAAATGTTACTCATTTTAAAATTAATGGTTATTTAATTCCCGTCACTTATAGAATAACACATTCAAATAGTGCATAAAAGTTTCTATTTCACACATGCATGAAAAAATGGTATCCTTAGAATCAATCTTAACTATTGATCCATCTCTTGGAATATGAAAGCACTCAAGTCGAAAATGTCCAGGAATTGAGCAGTTAAAACAACAAATTTTCTTTGATGACCTTTCGAATTATTTGAAACAGTGTCCGCAGCGACTTACAAATTGACAGGAAAGCATATAGATCAGAGCTTCGAAATGTCAAAGATAAAAGAGGGGTTCATTAACGCGTACAAACTTACTTAGAATTTGAGATATCAGAGCTAGCTGTCAGGTCGTATTTGTTAATAGAAATATCTGTAAGAGGTTAGCAATAAATGAGTGATCGGATACGAATTAATCAGAATGTATAATCTTACAGTAAAATTATTTGAATCTATGAATAACTAAGCTCCAGAAGAACTAAAACCATAGGATGGGGAAGCGGGGATTTGCATTAAACATTTCGTTGATTTACCAAATGAATGAATAGGTAAGAGCATTCTATGAGGTTTAACGATATCGTAGCTTTCAATTCAAATTGACTTTCCAAGTTATTTTGTGTTTATATTGACCTAATATACAGATGATTTATGTATCTTAGATCAGTAGTGATTTAAGTTCGAAGCATTAAACTAACTTTCTATAAAATCTTTCAGGATCATATTTTGGGGATGAAAAAACATGCAATTCGTGTCTCTCCACTACCGATATTTTAGGTGTTGCTGGTACTTACTTCTAAGATTGATTAAGTTTGAGAAGGTGTATGAGATCTATTGAAACAAGAAAATGATATCTAGATATCTATATATCTAGAGCACCAATTCATCTACAGATACAAAGTCATTGAAACAGTGTTAATAAAAATCAATACAGAATAAATTACAACTATTTACATACATATCATGTACATGTTATCAAGTGTGTGGTAGATACCAATAAATAGTGATTCGGACAAATTGGAAATACTGTTTCTCTTTCTTCAAACAACCAACATGAAAACATCTAATCTATCCAATAACACATTGATGAATGATATTGGTTGAGAAATATATGAAAACTCTGAAAAAGAAGTAGAACCTCGTCATCTAAGATATCATAAACATCAGAATGATAAGAAGTTTTAAAAATAAATATCTATAAAGTGTTGAAAATAGTCTCCGATTCCTTGATTCCTTGAGTAAGCGCACACCAAATTCAGATTCTGGTAACATCCATTGACGTGACCTGCAAAAAGCGCAAGCATCAGTGTGTCGTTCAAAAAAGGGTTACATTTAGAGAGCGCTTTCTGCAAATTTACTGCTATTGATATCTTTTAGTGTTGTCGGTCGATGTTTTCAGTGGGTAAACTCTTTTTGGAAAGAAGATTGTTATAACAGAAAAGATACCTTATATCCTTAAGTCATTTGATATCAAATAGTGTGAAGCGTGACGAGGTTCCACTCACTCAGTCTAATACAACAAATCATGCATACATTTGATTGCACTTGTGGGGTTTTGTTAATAACTGTACATAATACTGACTAGATGTAGTACACTCATCTCCAAAAATAATTTAGACTAGGTAGGGTGAATAACATCAACATATATAGGATTTCACGATGTTTGCCAACAAATACGTAGACTAGTAGGTGAAGAAATAACACCAACAAATATGTGTTTGTATCAAAATGGTTAAACGGGATTTTGTAAGAAAATAGAAAATAGAAAAATTGTGTTTTCGATGGGGATTAAGGGGCACTGGTTGGCTATATACTGTTTTGTTATCACACAAGTTCTGGCACTACTGGCGGTAAGAAGGTGAAGGTCACTAAAGGGGTTTTTATAAATTCATACAATCTACAAACTCGTTTGTATAAAAATGTTTATATATAAACAAATTCATTTAGAATTCGTGCAAGCAATAATGTAGAAATCGTTCCGCTAATCACTATCCATGCATTGTCCGTAACAGTTCAATAATCTGACAAAGTAAAAATCCTCAGTGCATACTAGGGTTGTTTATAATCTATCATTGAATTCTGGTCTCGTCCCTATTGACATCATTCCTTGTGATACATCGCAGTATGTTGCTTATGATGTGAGTAACACTTTTAGTGTCGTAAGTAGTCATATTTCATACAGGGAACTGCGGAAGTTATCGATCATAGGAAAGCATTACGAAGATTCACTGCATAAACCAGGAAATCTGTATTCAGTTCTCATTATGAAAAGTTCAAACTCTCGGAGGGAGAGATACTTCCTTTCAGCATATCTAACGAAGACTCTGAACCATCCTTTATACACGCCGATTCGTAATGTTTGTTAAGGTATGATTTTAAGGCGAACGATTTGTTGCATCTTTTACAGGTATAATGTTTAAAAGCCGAATGAGTTTGCATATGTGCACGAAGGTTGGATCGGTCAGCAAATGCTTTTCCACAATGAGCGCATCCGTATGGCTTCTCTCCAGTATGAGATCGTTTGTGCCCATGCAACAACCACGGCCTTGAGAAACTCTTACCGCATATATCGCAACGATGTTTGAGTTCATGCGTTAAAATATGCATGGACAAAGCAGGCATGCTGACGTATACTTTGTCACAATAGGGACACTTCTTGGCCAGTTGGCTGTCTAGACTCCTGTGTGTCTGCTTGTGGCGGGAAAGGTTGGAAGAGGTTGCGTAATCTTTCCCGCACTCATTGCACGTGTAGCGTTGCTTGGAGACTTTCTCCGGAATACCGAATGCATTTTTACGTCGAGAACGTCCGTCACTGATGAAAAACGCGTCATATGTATAACCAATGGTAACGCCCCTCCCCATTTGTTCAATGTTGGTTTTGTTCCGATCGGGGCTGAGGTCAAGAACTGGACATTCTTCATCTCGCACATCCTCAAACTGGATCTCTACATGGGCAGCTGGAGGCTGCGGTTTCTCTTCACTCTCAGCAACAGATGCATTCACTGGAAGTGACGGCACAATCAGGTCGCTTATATACCCTATTAAAATGTAAAATAATCATAATACAATGACCAGGTAAGTAACATTTCATAACACGAAAACATTTATTTTGAACAATTGATATACCACAAAGATTACATACCTCAAAAACATGTACGATATTTACAATACACATAGACTGTAGAAACCTCATTTTTGTCCCACAATTCAGGAATATTGGCTGTACTTTTCCACATGAGTTGTTTTACACTTTGTGTGATATTCTGTCATTATAATAGCCGCAAAATCATTATTTTTTATTTTTCGTTCTGACTTCTAATCCTCTTGTTCAAATATCTATGTATAGCTACAGCAGCAAAGAGGTACGTTCATTTATCAAAACAAACCGCTCAATTTCAAATTTTTTCATATCAAAGCTAGCATCCGCAAATACAAATATATTTGACTGATATAACAAAAACGGAAAATGCCCACAAGAGTAAATCAAATTGAAGGTAATAAGGAGAATATTCTGGTCCTATCTAATGATTTTTAAGTGAATTGTTCGAAAAGCCAAACTATACCGATCGCCAAAGTTATTCTGTAACACATCTGTCATAAGTGCGTGGAGTTAAATGCGTTTTTCCTCTCAGAGGCAAATCCATCTAAAGTAAATTCTAATCTGAACAGTGCTTCGTTAAGAAGAAACTAAATACTGCCACAACCCAAGAGTCCAAGAGGTACAAAAAATGTCATGTATTCAGAAAATTTCATCCTCATCGACAACATGCGCCGTTTGAATATTGATTAAATCAAGTAATGTCACGTTCTCATGGTGGTACCGGGGAAGCGACAGTGAAACCAAAAGAGATACCAGAGAGTGTAAGAAAGAAAGGACATGTAATACTTAAAGACATATCAAAATTTAATACACTATAGAATGTCCTGAAAACAAGACATTCGTTTTTAAACATGTGACGACTATCAAAAACACAAAAGAAAACAAATAAAAAAATGTCAACGTATGGTAAATTTGAACTAAATTATACATAACTGGAACAAAATATTAACAAGCAGACTCCTGTAAATTTACTTGGAGAATGATAAAACCATGTGTTTCGGAAAAGTAAGCGTATTCTTATCATTAACGTTATTGACAGCTAATAATAATTCAGTCATTCAAATTTCATTCAACAGTGGGATTGTTACAATCCAAATGGAAATTTATAGTGTTAGACAATGAACGGAGGGGCTTCGAGAGCATATACCTGACAGGTGGTTTGTTTCTATCGTTATTCGGAAAAATACTTCAGGTTTATAAGTAGTAGCGATTTGTGACAGTGGTGAATGAGAAGAGCAACTTGACTAGCACTCTTCGCTGATCACGAGAAAACAGAAAAGATGTTTACTAGTTTCTCATCTAATTCACTCTCTTATAAAATCATTTTCGGCATCAGAGCCAAAGACATGCACCACCAAGACTGAAATACATCCTGTAACCGTAAGCCAGACACAAAATTTATGACCAGACGATGTTTTGATCAGGCGACGGTCTAATATTGCATTCATGCTTTCAGCCCAAAGTTCAAAATGTGTAAAATACAATAAACAAACAAATAAAAAATAACCAAGCTTTTCCTCAAATGATGTGAAGTTCCGACAGACACGCCGCCAAGTGGCATCTTGCCTTTGACTTCTATAATCCTTATCAAATGGGCGGAGCTATTTTGTTTCATTTTTCATCAAGAATTAAAAAAAAACGACCATCGACGAATCAGAAAGCTGCAGTTTGAGTTATAACATTGTAGTCCTTTTTCTTCGCAACAAATCACGAAAAAAGAACAAACAAACAAAACAAAACAAATCAATTAATCAACTGACTGACGACAACAATAAGTGCAATTAAAAAAGCTGGACAACCTAATTTTCTTCAAAACAATTATCTGAAACTACAGGTTTGAATATCTCGTGTTATTAAGTAAAATATTGATATAAATTTGAAAAATATGTTGAAAAACATTCGAGTAGCAATACGCAGAAATTTTCAAAATCAAGCTAACAAGGCTTTAAAATTGATAGACAACAATGTGATTATCTCACTAGGTTATACGATCATGTCGAGACTATTCACAATCACTGTAAAACCAACCAAGTGCAACTAAGTCACGTTGATCAAATGTCCTTGTATATTCAACTTCCTACTTTCATTTTCCATTGTAATCACACTGACATGTAATTCGTAAGTCATGTATCTCAATGGAGATTTGATTTCTGGTTCCAGACTCTTAATCAGTTTTATGTACACGACATTATCAACATCTGTGTCACAGAAAATGTCAACCATAACTTTATACAAAAGAAAAAGCAATACTGTTGCAGATACGGCAACATCGTAATTTGAAATGAAAGCGCTTATTTTATACACCTTTGTATTTAGATTTACGTAATGACGAAAATTGAAGAAGATTACAGTATATAACTCCAAATTGAAATGCAAACTGGTATCCAATTTAATGTTTGTCAAATGTACTCCTTTATTGCCCATTTTTTTTTTTTGGTTCATTGTTATGTCATTTGACACATTCTACTATAAATTCGAACCCGTTGGACAGAAAAAAAAACAAGTGATAATTTTAGGATGCTGTTCACTCAAGCATGTAACTAGACAGTTGTATCTACCACCATCGCATTTGGAACGTGGGGGCGTGACTAGGAAAATCACTGGACCATGAAATCGCCTATTAAATGAATCACAATCACTGCCGCGTGCTGGGCAGATGTCTATCGTCATCCACTCGACTCCACAAAATGATTGTTGAACTTAAATTCAAAGACATTATTTACTTGATTACCATGGCCGTATCCATCATCTAATTAGGTGAATGAAAATCCAAGTACAAAAAGGAAAGAAGTCTTGAAAATAAATCAATCAAAATGTAAGTAGATAAATAAATAAATAAATAAATAAATAAAATTTTAAATAAGCTCATAATCACAAATAAAATTGCTTCCAATTATTGAGGTAAAAAGATGTTGACAATTAGTTATGTTATGCTAAAGATAAACAAAGATAACCAGACATATTTGAAGCAATTTCCTGATAACTATCGACAACGAAAGTGCCTCAGGTGGTTATTTTGTGCATTCGTGATAAGTTTTCACCAATTACGTTTCTGATGGATGACTGAGTTATCAATTGAATTTAATAGAAACTGTTACATTTTCTGCATTAGAAACTGCAGTGAAAAATAATAATAGCATCAATGAAAAAAATCAAGATAACTGATACTCTTTTTAAACTAAAACTTTGTCGTTGTAGTAGATAATCTATATTAAGTAATTCATTAATTGCAGTACCAGTTGTTAAATATACAAAATGAGAAGAGGGGCAGTAGTAAGATAAGAAGGTGCTCGTTTGAAAGTCAATAGTCAGTTCTACAAGTATAAACAACTTAATCAAAATGTGACTTTTAAACTTTTTGAAAAACATTCTTTTATTTTGTGCATTAAAATGATAACGTTTAATTACTGTACATGTTTTTTTTTCATTTTGATATTCATCTTTTATGAAGAATGAAGAAGTCTTGCATCAGAAGAGGATAAAGCTTACCAGACAGTTAACAGATGGGTCTCGAATAATCAATAGTTCAGTCGAGTAGTTGCTTTAAGTATATTTCGCTATCTGGAGAATTTACATGTATCTTTTAACTCATTTGCAGTTTAACCAATACATAATCCTACAAATTTCAGGTAGCAGTCACATCGCGCTTTTATACTGCACCGTAAACCTTGATGTCTTCCTTGTGGCGTCACAATTGTAAAGTTGATGAATATTTCCTTTCCTCAACTAAAGTGGAATATGTATACATTAATTTAAATAGATTTTTTATCTGAAAGTATGCAGTACTGATTTTATTTCAAATGACATTTATGATGACCATGAATGGCAGCAGGGCAGAAGTTATTTCCACGCTAATTCGATCTAATTCAATTACCCTTTGTGGAGTTTTCGGTCATTAAAACACTGTAATGTCTATGACTTACTGATCATGGTAAAATGCAAGTTACAAAGATACTGAAAGACTGATATTCATATTCTGTATATCAAATATTAACTCAAATTTAACAGAAATCTATTATGTAATGACCAATCAAAAACTACAGATAAAGGCAGATGAAGATGTTGCCAAATATTCCAAAAAAGGTAAATTGAATTTATGAATGCTTAATATTACACATAATTAGTATAAAAGTATAATTACTTACTTTAAGATACGCATGAATTGCTTGAAGTGCTAACTTCGAGAGTAGATTTATGTCGTGAGAGATAAAGGTCAATTTGACCAGTTATCAGACAATCACATTATCACAAATGACAATGTAATACACCTTATGACAATTATTCATCCTCTGCAGGAAGGAGGTTCTGATCAATAAGTTTATAAAATGGTACTGAAATTACAACTGTGACCATATAACGGTGTCTTAGTTGAATTGTCTGAGGTAGTTTCAAGTACTATCTGAACCACCACGAAATCTCAATAATATTCTGCATAACGAACATTGCATAGCAAGCTGTGGCCAAGTTCTAAGGGTTGACACTGCACTGCGTTACTTGCAACAAAGAATAACGACCAGTGTTCTTTTTAACAACATAGTTGAAACTCCCCTGTGAGTAATGAAGAGAGATGAAATGTGTAGAGGACCCAACGGCAGGATTAATTTATGACAACATGGCATATTTGCTATCGTCTCGACAGCGATAGACTGACTGATTTATCTAAACTAAAAAAATTCAAGGATAATTATGTCGTCTGCACGTGTATTTCCTTGTTCAAATAACCATTTTTTCGGTATTATTTGAATTATTTCATTGAATAGACCCTCCTTTGCTGATAAAACTTTTATCGAGTCACTATTTTAACATCTTTCAGATAACTGGGAAATTATTGTAAAAAAGCAACAGATATACATCTATGTGAAGTTTTGAAAAGTGAATAGCACCTTTTAATACGAATTAGATACAGTAGGGTCAATTAAACTGCTTCATACATCTCTTTCTGCCTGCTAGGACTCTTCAGTTTTATTTTAAAACCCATGAAGTGATTGAGGAAAACCGAAAGTGATAAGGAATGTCAAAATATAGATTGTAAGGTACACCTGACCTATAGTTCTATAAAATTCGTTTTTTCATATATCTGAAAATTTAAGAAGAGCACAAAGTTCATGTGTATATTCTGAACCGTTTCATTATTCGAAACAATCTAAATATTCTTTCAAGCATTTGGTAATGCTAAATTCTTCTCTAAATAATCATCTTTATGTATGTATTTATTTGTTAATCTTTCACGGATATTTGTCATCCATATATAATTGCTTGTGCCTAATTATTACGCATTGTTGTTGACTGAAACAGAATGATTTATTTATCAATACTACTGTATGTTGTATAGTTCTTTATCAAAGAAATAACTTAATTTGATAACCTCATTCGGATTAAAATAATAAAAATCATATATGACAGAAAAGATTTTAGGGATTGTCAATTTACTGCTTGTCAACAAAGAGGTTTTATCACACTTACAAGTTGCTTAAAATGAAGTTTAAATCAGAATTGCGTTTACCATTCCCAAACTGTATCATCCTTTTTATCTTTAGGATAAAACTGCCCAAAATGAATGTATATATATAAATACAAATTACTTTCACGACCAAATAAAGATATCTTTCTGGGTTTTCACAGAATCAATCCTTCCAATGTTTTCAATGACTTTTTCTTATGTCACTATCAAAGACAACAGCTCTCAAAAAACATATGGGAAATTGTATTATCTAAAAGTTTACTTTCAATGTATATCTTTTTAGCCATTGCATGTCAACAACCTCGCCCCCACCCCCACCCCCTAAAACAAGTTCCGTCTTGCTGATATTACAAAATTCAATAATAATTGATTTATTTTAGCCTCTCATGGGTGCGCGACCAGTTACCATAAGCGCTGAATAGACTGTCTATGTCTACAAGAGGTTAAATCAATTATATATATATCATGACACTATACGACACACCAACAGCCTCATGGTAATGTAAACATGAAGTTCCTTCAGTTTGATATTCTTCAAACACTTGAATATCATTTCAATGGATATTAACACACGCTGTACGGTTAATGCTTATACCACACAAAATTTGTTACCAGCAAGAAATGGATTATATAAAATTGTTATGAACATATGATAGGTTGTCGAGCATTTTGTAGGTGTTGTAAACACAAAATATAACCCATTGTTAATCATGAGTGTTCATTTAAATCACACGATGGCATGACTTAACTAATCAAAATATCATATGCAGATAATCTTCTGTCCTCAGAGGAAAAAGAAAATAAAAATCCAACGTGTCATTTCAGCTGAAGAAGCTTGAAAGCATTTGTAAAATATAGTGTGACTGTTGATAACGTATCAATAATTACAAGATAATTGACTTTGTAATTTATCACTTGATACTATCTTATTCGTAGGAAAACAGTAACACTTACATGGTTTCTTAACTCTAATAACTAAGCATATAAAAGAATGTGTATCTTGTTTTAAATATCTTAACATATTTTTGTCCCTAACTAATCTTCCGACATCCAAAAATATTAATACAATTGTGTCCTCGCAAGTAAAACAATCAATTTTTAATTGATTCTGAAAATTTTGGGATATTTTATTTATCTTTTTTCAAATAAGCAATTTTAGCTTTTTAAAAAGAGTTCACTGTAAAAGTATTTTACACAACATGTTCTTGTTTTTAAAATCGCTTCATCACAAAGTAGGTAAAATAAATTGCTATATTCAGCAAAACTCAACACCCCTCTTAAACAAACACTTATTGGTATTCAATCAACACCAGCCTCTTCTTAGAGGAACAGAAGACAAAATCAGAGCCAATGCTGACTTAAGTAAACAAAACATCAACTGACAACTGACAACGAGCCACTATCTACCCTCGTGTAGCTATTGTAAAGTGCTCGATTAACTCTAGACTGTACCACTAATTATATTTTCTCCTGTTACAGTCCAGTATATATTGTTAGATAATACGTTCACGAGAATTCAGTCTCGCCTCTCTCGCCTCATTGTGTGTGATAATGAATAATTGGCACATTATTGAAAGACCCATCCTAGTCCAATCAAGATGATACTTTAAACATAAATGATACTATCGGCTGCAAATATAAAGCTACGGAGTTTTTATCGATACTCATCTACACGCCTGCACAGATTATCTTTGATATTAGTTAGCACTTATTTTATATATATATATATATATTGTTGACTTTCATATGTTTTAAGAATCCTTTAAGCTGTAATCAGTCTCACTTTCCGAAACGAATATATACATTTCTGCTTTTGCAATCTGTATGTAATGTCATGTATATAGCGTGTACCTGGACTACAATCGAACTCAGTTTCCCAGAAAATTCCAACAAAACGTATCTATATGGACCTTATCTATTAAAAGAATTCTTTTCTACTTTGTCAGAACACGTTTTTTGCAACCGAGGTCTTAGTATTAAGAACTAAGTGCAAGTACAATAAATGGATCAATCTATCTTCAATATTTAGTAAATACAAAAATGAACAAAAATGGCATTCATTCAACTACAGTTAAACATTCGAGATTTATGTGTCATATGTCTACATTGTTCCCACCCTATAAGTGATAAGTCACCTGGTATACCATATTCAGATAGTAAATAAATAGTTGATAACGGTAAGTCAAGCTATTAGAGGTAAACGTGAGCCTGATTAAGATCATTCTTTGACAATTATGTATTTTCCTCTTGAAAGCCACGGCCTTAATACGTACGCATGTCTATATTCCTACAATCTCTGATACCGAAGACATGGTATATACTTTCAGTGGCAGATAACGGACAGCTAGAGAAAGTATACTTACCATTATTGACACGCACTGCCAACGGGTGTGTACTAGGTGTGAATGGGGCCACTGCTCGGACACTGTCCACATCATCCTCATATATCTCCTTGGACCAGTAATGACCGTGCATAGATTTGTCATCGTCGCATTTCACTTTCTTCACAAGAAATGACCTAGGCATCTTTTCTGGAGTTCTCTCGATTCTACACAATCCCAGATTTAGCAATTGTCTATACACAGAAGTTAATGTCATTCATCATTTGTAATCATACACTCCTTTATCTGGAATATCTAATAGTGTCTTCACCTACAACCGTGTTTCTATCGTCCCGTTTGATCATGTTTGTTCTTGGTTGTAACAGTGTTGCTGCCTAACATTGTCTGTTTTGTCTCCGTCCTGCTGTAAAGTTACACCGGGTACGTCAATACACTGTTGCGTATATTCACCAAATCACATGTGCTCAAAGACAGGCTATCATATAATGGGCTGTATCTCCAGCCGTGTGAGTGTTGGCTGTTCTCGTGTGTGCGTGTTGTTATCAATGTGTTTTCTCATCCATTCAACGATGTAACGGTTGAATACAATAGTATATATTCTCTATACGGTGAGAACCAAGCCATGTGTGAGCCACCGCTTTTTTCAAAACGTCCCGTTTATTACTTGGAAACTGGATGATGCGCCTCAGCGCAGCTTTAAATAGCTGACCCTTACCAATCATCGGGCACGCGCCGGCGAATCATAGTGAAGCAGGCATGATTTTTACTATGAATAATTGAGACGACGAACAATGGAGATAGCGGAGTCGCCTTTGACAAATACAAACTGTTACTATTATCCCATTCAACGTTGTATAGACTGTTCTTAGCTTCAGTCATCTGCTGTTCCATACAATCTCATTATTCTAATTGGGTAGCATCGTGCAATTCCTTGCGCGTGCGTACTGAAGAAAGATCCGCGTGCCTGGATGGTTTTAAACATTACGATGCCATCGGTAAAATTTAACACCCGGTTTATCACATAGAGCTCACGACAGACCAGATGATGCAGTGAGTTTTAGTGAGGATACCCGGATATAGCCGATAAACCAGCTGATGCTGGATAGTGGTACTGAGACACGAGATACCCGAACATATTAGATGATTCTTTACCGGGGTGGTCGGTAGAGTGTCAGATGTATGGGAGAGGTGTAGATGAATCCGAATACTCCAATGTAATGAAAGATGAGGTATCATTTCAGACAGGCAAGGAGAACAAGTATTCTTTTTGAGAGAGAGAGAGAGAGAGAGAGAGAGAGATGAAGCGAGTACGGTTACCCGGGTGGAGTAGAGAGAGCAGATGACACCGGAGAAGAGAAACTGTGATAACCGGACTAAAAAAACTACTAGATGATTGAGTTAGTATGAAGAAGAACCATAGGGTCATTCAGTGGGAGAATAGAAAATGTTTTAAAGAAATAGACAAAGGTATCAAGTGCAGAAAACTTCCTACAACTTTCCAAGATTGGAGGCTGAAAGTAAAGTAATCAGAAAAGACGGTTACCAGAATGCACGGTTACAACAAAAAGACGAGATATAACACGGGAAAAAGGAGAGCACTCAACAGGGACACAATGCAGTATATCCTACAGGTGTTTCGCGTTGAAAATACAAACAATATTGATTCTTATGAAAGAATATTTAACACGATAACAACGACCCAATGTAAAATCGATTTTGAGCAAAGTGGAAGGCTTACAGATTCGACCGACCACGAGAGTAAACTATTATACGAAACACACTCACTAAAACTAATATTGTTCAAATCAGCTATCAATAACGGCGTGCATATGTAGCAGGCTTTTAAAACCAACAAGCATTAACGCGCTGTTTCTAGCAAGTAACTAAAGCCATCAAACTACCTCCACGAGAAAATTATGATAATAAACAAACACCAATTTGTCGTGAAACTGACATCTATGATTTAATTGTTTAGACATTAATCAATCAATTAGAATTATATGCATAAAGTGTGGCACAGTTTTGAGAAAACAAACATTTCTATCCACTGTATTATTGTAAAACATGCTTTCTTAATTACAGCTTAACCATATCAATAATTACATTGGAATTACTGTCATGATCACATGACCACATTTCATTTTTGTTCTCTGAATATCCTCATTGCACATGGTACGTTGGCTTTATATAACACATCCTAGTAAAGACTCAAGACACACGGAAATCACCCAATGAACTGCTCATTGAAAACAATACTGAGGATTAAAATTGTGATGCGATTTACTTACTGCGCAATTTACATAGGAGTAACAAAACTACGTCTTTGTTCTTTTTTCCTCCTTTTGTGTCTTTTTTTTTATTAATAGATGTAATAAATAAATGACAAATTGATATGCTAGATCTTAAAATAAAAACTAGAATTCCCGAGCAATATCGTTGCCTTGGAAACGTTTTCAAAATCGAAATGACCGGGAAAAATCACCAATATATATGATTGAAAAATAAATACGTTTTGAGATAGTGACAATAATGTCATGAACGCGAATAATTTGTGAAAGAAAATAGTCGTTGAAATATTACTTTAAGTTTAGAGTTTAGAGATGTATAGATATAAGCTAACAAAAGCACCGATGTTAAACAAATGTTTTTATCAGTGAACCTTTCAAGTCCTCTTATCAAGTTACATTGGACCTGTTTGTTAACAAAAAAAAAACAAAAAACAAAAAACAACAATACCAACGTGCGCAGATGTATCAATGAACTAAAATGCATGGTCCTAGAAAGGAATTTTAAAAATACCAAAATCAGGTCAACGTAGTTTGAAAGAGTACTTGCTTTATTATAAAATACTTTCTAGTATTATGATTGATCAGAAACATGCTCATGTGTCATACCAATTAATAAGTCTCTATTAAGGAGAATCTTTAAGTTTTAGTCATTAAATGGCTTTGCATATATATCTATTGATGCTTCTCTAACCACAGGTAGTGATCATAAATTTTCTTAAGCTGATATAATAAGAATAGGTAGACTGTAATTGAAACTTTCTTGCTGCATGTGGTAATTTGTGTCCGACGTAACAGTTGATAAGAAGTATATAATGTACATAGTATATATATAGATATATATATATTGGGTTGCGCATTTCATATCGACACGATTCATTACTAGCAAGTGAAAAGATACTATCGGTTTTTCCACGTGTCTCGAACACTAAGACTCCATCTCCGCTGTTGTTTCCATCCGTGTCAAGAAAAGGACTGATGTAGATGATTATGACTTGCTTGTTGTAAAATAAATAAAGTTTTTTCACTTGTAATGATATCACATTATCACGTCATCTCCTAGGAATAGCTTCGACAGAATTGAATACAAAAAGCAAAGAAATAAAGAAACAAACAAACAAATCTTAGCTTTAAACACCTTACTGATATTTTATTGTTTCTCAACCTTTTTTTTACATAACCAAGTAGTGTTCACTGAATTCTTACCTCCTCAATCTATGGTATCACATGTCACAGTTGAGTCGATATTCAATGCCTGTTCCCATTATCACGAGTTTCGTGCAAGAAGTCGTTAACTGAAGGACAAACTCGTAACAGAGGGTTTCAAAAGATGCATGTTGATGAAAATTATGGGGAAGTTTTATGGTCACCATAGTGATCTCATTGAAAAATGTTCTTTGTGTGATTTGAAGCTAGACATGTTTAATGCACGTTCGTTTGCCTGTTGGTTCCGTTTTTGTATACCTTGTTCTCATTTGAGAACGTTACATTACTTACTGGGATTGTCAATGGTTTACATAGCGGTTGTCGTCGATGAAGCAGAAGACGCTAACTTTTTCGGAACACCTGGTTTTATTCTCTTTTAATTTTTTCAGGAGTCTCCGTGTAAACCTTTCTTTTATTCATATTTTGCCCTAATTTTTTTGGAATTTGAGTTTGGATTATGATTATGTTTACATGTTGGTATTTTGTATTTTTGAAAATTCTGTTTGGTATTTTGGTATGTTTGTACAAAAGACACATATAGAATTGTTTTAGAATCTAGAATCAGTAACAGAATCTAGATGAGGAGGTGTAATTAACACTATTTATCGACTTTGTGTTTGTGTTATGATTTTTGTTGAAAAGTCAATATCCTCCTGCCGTGTGTTTTATAAGGGACAGGAATATTAGGTTGTACATTTATCACCTTTTGAAAACGTTTTTACTGACACTGAGTTAAAATTACATACTTGTCTCCTTTTTGGGATTATACTGTTTATCTTTTATAATCAATTTCATTACTTTTTACTGACGTTAAGTTAATACTGTGTAAACACCACCCTGTGATGATTAAATGAAACATACGTTATCTACAAGTCACAGTTGATTCGAAATTAAATGGCCTTCTCCAGCAATAAGTCGTCAACTGACATACGAACTCATAACAGAGGGTTTCGAGAGATGCAGGTTGGTGGAAATTATGGGGAAGCTTTAATTTGTTGTTGTTTTTGTTTACTCAAGTACAAGATATAAAAATTCAGTAATTGTATATTTGACACTCGATAAATAATAACTAATATTCTGTATAAGTTCAAACCTTACAAAAAGTATCAACAACAGTTTCATTTTTGCCCTGATGAGATTTCAAACTCGATAAGAGTAACATTTGATACAAAGTACCTTGAAGATTGTGGCGGTAACGTTGTTGTATACCTTATTCTCATTTGGAAACGTGACATTACTTACTTAGATCGACCACGATTGATGTGGCGGGTGACGTTGATGAAGCAGAAGACGCTTACTCTTCCAGAGCATCTGGTCTTTTTCAGGAGTTTCCGTGTCAATCTTTCTTTTGCTCATATTTGGTCTAGTTTCATAAAATTTGTGTAAAATTAAGATTTGATATAGTTTACTTCAATTCTAAAATATCAACATCTCAAGTTATCCAAATGACAGACAAAAAAAAAAAAAAAAAAAAAACGAAATAAAATATAAAGCCACAAATATTTATTCAGTTAACGCTGCGGGTAAACTTGACTTCGTGTTATTTGTAAGGTGTAAATATTGGTTTTACTTGTCTGTCGCAAGGTTAGACAGAACAATAACACTACTTGTTCATTTAAATATTAATGCACTGCCATAGAGCCTTGAAATTGATTCTAAATTTCATTAATTGTACAGATATAATCAGCTCATT